CGTCTCGAATCATAACAGATGATAGTTATCTATTTAACCCTTCCGTTGTCTTTTCAGTAAAAATAAATAAATACAAATAAAATAAATAAATTATATATACAATATATATATATAATTTATTTATTTATTAATATATATATATATATTACACTGCTGTTGTAATCAGAGTTTATGACATTGTCAAGATATCAATGCAAACATAACAAAAGCATATATTTATATATAATTGATTTTGACAAAAGTGTTTTCTGTGGGCGGCAGGTATTGAAATTTGATATTTAAAAAACACAGTTGTAACATTTCACCTTTGGCTATTCAGCAGTTATTTATTTATTTGTAAATTTAATATTTATCAGGGTTTTTCAAACTTTTTGATGCCTAAGATGATTTCTTTTACAAGACACCTCCCTAAAATATAAAGTTTTATATATAAAAAAAATATTTGTATAATTATTTTGTTAACACGTTGACCCTAGAACTATATATTGTTTCAAAAAAAAAAAGTTCTCTCAAACTTTAAGTCCCTGATTTGAAAGAGGAAAGAAGAAAGCCAAGCTGTCCCAGTTCTTGCCTGGACTTCACTGGACAGTTTCCTCATCTCAAGGTTGCTGAGATAGCATCACATGTAATTGCTGTCATCTCAAAGCAATGCCGAAGGGAGGATACAGCCTGCTAAGAGACATGATCTAACCTAACTTTCAAAGACCATTTCGGTCTACTGGACCAGAATAACAGCCTCAGCAAATTTTTGTCTTTAGCATCAATCCAAGTTAGGGTTTGTCTGGAGAGTCACGGTAGACATCAGCACTGAGGTCTATGACTTGTAGGTGTTTCAGTTGCTAATTTAAGAACCCAGGCAGACAGCAGTTTAAGGTTAGTTTGAGTGAGGTCTTTCTCCTTGGCCAGACATGAGGAAAAAGTGTGTGAATGTATGCGTGGTGTGTTTTGAACTCCCTTCCACAGTTTGATCTCTGTACTTTGTGAAAGTATTTGATTTTTACCAAACGTTGTTGTGTCAAATCTCTCTTTATCCATGTCTGTCTACCACAAGCTGGAGGCACATTTGATCTTTTTTCTGAATTATGTTAATATTCATTACATTTTAATGTCATTCAACATCAAGACAGCATTTTCCAGTTTCTATTTGACTGTAGTCTGCATTACAAGCTCAGATTTGACTTTAAAATAGTTTTAGACTTGTTAGCCAACACTGGATATTCCCGACTTTCATTTTGAAACTAAAAGCACTGTTAAGTCCCTGGACTTTGTACAACAGATTAAAATTCCTGAGGGGACAGTTTATTTGCAATCAGTGAATAAAAGCTGTGGTACACGATATGTAACAAACTGGGGAGTGCTGTGGTGGTCACATTCTTCTCAGGGATTCACTGAGATTTCTGAGAAATGCTAAAGACATGGGTTATGGCAGTGGTTCTCAACCTTTTTTTCCCACTGGGCCGCACTATGGTCCAAGTGCAAGTCTCACGGGCCGCACGCATATCATTTACATATTATGTCACCAATACAAACCAACCAGATTTATAATAGCCTATTATTGTATAAATATTATGATATCTAATCGATTACATTCATTGAAATAAATAAATAAATAAATAAATAATTATACTCACCATTAATAAAACACCTGATGCTGTCGGGAGCTGACCAATTTTGTGAAATTCGGCTCGAAAGTAGTAACAGCACAATGAAGTTGCGATTGTAAGTTGCAGTCTGACGCGCGACATTGCAGAAAATGTGCGTTCACAAATGTAGCCTATGTTGATCCAAATATGGAAAGCACTTTCGAATTTAATAATCTGAGGTTCTCTCCAGAGATGTTTTGCCACATTTCTGCAATTAAGGATGATTGCTGCATAGTATGGGTGTTTCCTTTTGCCTGAACTGAGCCCTGCATTTCAGCTCGGGCCCGACTTTTTTACGCCCCTCGGCCGGGCTTCGGGACCATTTTCACGTCATAGTTCAGACGCGGGCCGGGCATCGGGCTTGCTTTAGGCTTCTCCTATTTTTATATTTTAGACATCCATCAATTAGTGCTGAAAAAAAAATTGTCATGCTGGTGGAAACAACACGAGACCGTGCTGCCGCGACTGTCAAGAGCGGCTCGACTGTGTGTAGTGTCCAGCTGCGGCGAGTGTGCTGTCAGCGCAGCTGAAGAGATCGGCGTTCAAATGCACGCAATAGCCTTAAGCTTGTCGAAAAGCACCAGGAAAAGAAATGATCATGAATGTGTCAGGGGGAAAGGGTAAGGAGATATTTGAATTATTTACTAATAAACTAGTGTTTTCTGAGTCTGTGTGGCAAGGATGAAATTGTCGATCCTGACTCGCCATCTCCTCAGACGCGCCTTTAGAGAGAAGTGCATATATTTTAGACATCCATCAATTAGTGCTGAAAAAAAAATTGCCATGCTGGTGGAAACAACACGAGACCGTGCTCGACTGTGTGTAGTGTCCAGCTGCAGCAGCATGCGTGCCGTCAGCGCAGCTGAACAGTTCTGCTTTCAAATGCACACAATAGGCTAAAGCTTGCCTCAAAGCATCGGCAAAACTAATTACCATAAATGCGTCAGGGGGGAAATAGTTAGGTAATATTTGAATTATTTACTAATAAACTAGTGTTTTCTGAGTAGTGTTTACTAATAAACTAGCGTTTTCCATCTCCTCAGACACGCCTTTAGAGAGAAGTGCATCTTTACGGATTATGAGTTTTTGTTTTTGATTTTTTTTATTTCGTTAAGTAGTAATTTAAAGCTTTCTATAGATATATTTATCATGTCTGTGAGGCATCTATTCGCTGAGTTTCGGTTCATTTTTGTGAAGCGCTCCTGTTCAAGACGAGACGGCAGAAAGCGCATCATGTTTATTTTCTTTATTTTATAAAAGCACAACGTTTTGTTGATATTGTGAGTGCACGCAAATAAAAGTAGACCCTTTACAGTTACGAACGATGTATTACTCTTACCTTTATGAGTAAAAATGACGGTGTATCCACTGAAGAAAATGCAAGTAATCGCGCTGGCGCCTCCATGTCCCGCAAAGCGCGCTTCAGCTTTCACTCTCCGCACAAACTATTGGATATAGCGCACATTTATCTAGGTTTAAGTTAAAACATTGTTATATGCTTGCACTGTTTTATATCTATAGTTTTTATTTTTGGAAAGTCGTGATGATTTGAGAAGGCTAAATTGATCAAACAGGCTATGATCAGCTCACTGTCTGCCGCTGGCCGCTTGGTCGTTAAAAACAAAACAAACACTTATATTTAACGACCAAAAAATGCTCCAAACGTTTTTCTAAATTAACTTAATTAAAAAATGAAACGAAATATAATCACTTTGCCATTACATACAAAACTGAACTATTTGAATATAGCTGAAACAGTACACTCTAAAAAATGCTGGGTTAAATATAACCCAGCGCTGGGTTAAAAAGGGACAAACCCAGCTATTGGGTTGTTTTGAAAACAACCCAATAGCTGGGTTTGTCCCTTTTTAACCCAGCATTTTTTAGAGTGTAGTATACACTGTTTTGGGAGAAGGAGGGAAAAAAGGCATTTTCCACATTTCGTTTTTCTCCCTTAATAACAAACGTGTCCATTCTGATGCTCAATTTTACACCAGAATGGATGTAATGGCTGCTGATGACTATTTTAATTGAAAATAGTCTGAATAGAATAGAATTCTGCCGAAGTGCGCGCTTGTAAGTGTTCCTTAAATGCGTAACGTTAATTAGTCTACGTGAGTACAGGTCTGCTCATGTCTGAAAAGAATACATGAAAAACAAAATTATTTTACATAACAAAAACATTATAGCTTATATTTGTTTAGTACATTTTTAAATTAATGTAAAAACTAAAATGAATTGTAAAACTGAAAGTTCTTTTTTGATTGTGTTCAGCATGGTGGGCCGCATTTGAATTCGTGACGGGCCGCGGGTTGAGTTATAGTTAATTTAGAGACTTTGTCAATGTTTCGTTTTTCTCCCTTAATAACAAATGTGTCCATTCTGATGCTCAATTTTACACCAGAATGGATGTAATGGCTGCTGATGGCTGCTGATGACTATTTTAATTGAAAATAGTCTGAATAGAATAGAATTCTGCCGAAGTGCGCGCTTGTAAGTGTTCCTTAAATGCGTAACGTTAATTAGTCTACGTGAGTACAGGTCTGCTCATGTCTGAAAAGAATACATGAAAAACAAAATTATTTTACATAACAAAAACATTATAGCTTATATTTGTTTAGTACATTTTTAAATTAATGTAAAAACTAAAATGAATTGTAAAACTGAAAGTTCTTTTTTGATTGTGTTCAGCATGGTGGGCCGCATTTGAATTCGTGACGGGCCGCGGGTTGAGTTATAGTTAATTTAGAGACTTTGTCAATGTTAAAGGGATAGTCCTCCCAAAAATGAAAAATGCACTCCCCCTCATATTAATCTAAACTTGTATGACGTTCTTCTGTGGAACACAAAAGAAGATATTTTGAAGAATGTTGAAAGCCAAATGGTTTTAGGTCCCATTGACTTCCATATTATGGACAAAAAACACTATGGAAGTCAATGTGACCCAAAACTGTTTGGTTACCAACATTCTTCAAAATATCTTCCTTTTTGTTCCACAGAAGAAAGAGGCAACACTTTATTTTAAAGACCAATTCTCACTATTAACTTGCATAATATGCATATTATTAGCATATTGGCTGTTTATTAGTACTTATAAAGCACATTAATGCCTTACTCTGCATGATCATATTTTAGATCCCTTAACCC